AGACAGTCTTTGTGCATGACAGCATGTTTGTTCTAGCAGATGGTGTGTGTGGAATCTTTGCTAACAACTAGTTGTGCTTGTGGTTTTCTGTGGAAAGTTTTGCAATTTCATGTCCTTTTGCTGTGGATGTGTCCGTCTGGCCCTGGCGGCAGCTTTCAAGTGAGAGTGTTAGAGGTCAAATACTTGGTGTTCATGGTGTGTGTCATGGAGGTCAAAACATGCAACCATAGCACTGGGGAGGTGCAGTGTCATCAGTGAGGTCATTCTGTGGCACTAGTGTGCTTTAGTTTGCAGGTGCATTGTGAGGAGGGGGACTCATGTCCTCACAGCCCTGTCAGGCTGGTCTGGAGTTTGGACCTATGCTGGCCATGAGGGGATGCCCTTATCATCACTTTCAGTCCCTCTCTGCCTTGCTGCCAGGTCTCTAAGCCTGTGTTTAGAACTGTCCTTTCCTTTTGTGTGAGCTCTGTGGGTTTGTGAGGTTGTAGAAGGGGAAAAGGAGGCTGCCTGTTTGGACTGTTCCCACTTGCGGCTTTCTGAGGTTGTTGTAGTGCAAGCAGGCAGAGGAGGTCTGTGAGAGTTATTGGTCCCTGTGATGTGGAGATTCCTGCCTGGCTCCCCAGAGTTTTGCCTTGCCCCTCCCCCCCACTCCCCCACCATTCTTTAAAGGGATTTGCAGCTTTAGAGCCTGAGTTCTGGTGTGAACATGTCAGGAGCAATGAAGCTGGTGGAGGATCAACAGAACAAGACAGATGAGGAGCATTTGCAGGAATTGGGGTTGTTGATGTTTTTGACAAAGAGATCTGAGTGGAATCCTTACTGATCTCTAGAACTACCTGTAAGGATGTTGTAATGAGGTGGGTGTCCGTGTCTTATGCGTGGTAACAAGTGGTTGGACAAGAGTAAACAGCTTCAGGCTGCACCAGGGGAGTGTCACATTGGATATTAGGAAAGATTTCTTCACTAAAAGCATGGTCAAACATGAACAAGCTGCCCAGGGAGGTGATTGTGTCACCATCCTGAGAGCTATTTAAGAGAACGTTAGACGTGGCCTTAGGGATATGGTTTAGTGGTGAACTTGGCAGTGCTGGGTTTGCGGTCTGAATCAATAATTTGGAGGGTCTTTTCATACCTAAATGACCCTCTAGTTGTCTCTGAATCAGCCATCAAGGTTAGGGTCTGTAGTGGGACCAGTGTTATTTAAGATCTTTGTCAGGTACATGGACAGGGGATCGAGCTTTCCCTCGGCAAGTTTGAGGACCACAGCAAGCTCAGGGGTGTAGCTGATAGTGTAGAGGTAAGGGATGTCATCCAAAGGGACCTTGACAGTCCGGGGAGGTGGGCCAGTGTAAACCTTATAAAGTTCATCAAGGCCAAGTGCAAAGTACTGCACATGGATTGGGGCAATCCCAAAGAGGGATGCAGGCCTGGGGTAATGTGGATTGAGAGCATCCCTTTGGAGGAGGATTTGTGTTGGTGTATGAAAAAGTGCTTATGATGCGGTAATGTTTGCTTGCCTCCAAGGAAACCTATGGTCTCATGTGCTGCATCTAAAGAAGCATGGCCAGGTCAAGGGATAGGATTCTCTCTTTCTACTCTGCCCTTGTGAGACCCCATCTGGAGTACTGTGTTCAGCGGTGGGGCCACCAGCCTAAGAAAGACATAGACTTGTTTGAGTGAGTCCAGAGGAGGCCACGAAGATGATCAGAGGGCTAGAGCTACTCCCCTTTGAGGACAAGCTGAGAGAGTTGGGCTTGTTCAGCCTGGAAAAGAGACACTTCTGCAGGGAACATATATATTGGTCTTTGAGTATATAAAGGAGGTCTACTGGAAAGATCAGTAGGGACACTCGATCAGGGAGTGTGGTGATAGAATGAGAGGTAACTGTCTGAAACTGGAAGAGGTACATTTAGGTTGGATATTAGCAGTGAGTGAAGTAATGTAAGGAGGTTGCCTAAAAAAGCTGTGGATGCCTCCAACCTAAGTGCTGAAGGGCAGGTTGGATGGCAGTTTGAGCAACTTGGTCTATTGAAAGGTGCCCCTGCCCAAGGAATGGGGTGTTGCAATTAGATTGCTTCTAAGGTCCCTTCCAAAGCAATGATTACATCATTTTATGATGATCAAAACCCTACCTTGACCCACAACACTTTTGTCATATCACCTCTACCCTTTCCATTTAGGGAAGGGGTGTAATAGAGCAACTTGGTGGGTACCCAGCATGAAGGCAAATTTAACCCAGCACACACGAGGAGCTTGCAACAGAGGCCTGAGTGGAAATGTGTTAGTCGTCCAAGCCTGTTTTGGGTAGGCAAGTACTTGAGTGATGTGCTCAAAGCCAGTGGGTGGTGTTGCTGGTGCTACACTTCCTAGCAGAGGTATGGTAACCCAGTTTCAACCCATTCTGATGATCTGTTAAAGCATTGCTTTCTGCTGGGTGAAGCTGGATGAGACTTGGGAGAAGAAAGGAAAAAGAGAGGTCACAGGCTTGGGTGAGGGAGAACTTTATTGAGGAAGAAAATGGTGAAAAGGCAGGAGCACCAAGTGGAAGGGAACAGGTTTGAAGTGCAAGAATGATGACCATCGTCCATTGTCCATGATAGCTTTTACCAGAAACCTGACTCCTTCATGACCCACAGTGTGAGAGGCACCTTCAATCCATGCTATTACTTCCACTGTGTTGTTGCTTTGTATCAGGAGTGATATCAGGGGCCCTTAGCAGGGGTAACAGGCTCTTCTGCTGCCATAGCAGCCCAGGCCGCCAAAGCCATAGCCAAGGCCATAGCCAAAGCCCCCAGAGGAGACGGGCACTCCCTGGGCGCTGAGAACGTTGGCCCCGCCAGGCGAGGA